GGTGGCAGATTGCCGACAGGAGGTTGGAGGAAGATGCCGGAGATGTCGGTCGTTCTTAATAGTCCCGGCGCTAGGTTGGTTCTATTGGTGGCGTCCGACGCCGTTCATCATGATTTCCGAGCAGTATTTCTCCGGATCAAGGGTCGAGTATATATTACTCAAAGAAGAAAAGATCTACTGGAATCTTCCTCCAATAGTTTGGAGCGTCAAACGCCTAAATCTAATAAGAGCACCTATATCTAATCACAAATGTCACAGGCATAACTGGATTAGCAACTATCTACAATCATAAAATACATATCATATGCCTCATGCTAGTTACATATCACATCGTAAAACATCCTCCTCCAATCTACTTCCTAAGCAAAGTAGCAGTAGTATTGGCATGGAAGTCACGGCTACTGAAACCAGCCTTGAAAGTAAACTCACCCGCCGGGATGCGCCAATCTTGCGCCGTCACATCCCAGTAACTCACATCTCTGCGCATCAGCTCGAAAGTCACCTTCTTGGTCTCGCCCGCCTCAAGCCAGACCTTCTCGAATCCACGCAGCTGGCTAGGGGGGGTACCCGCGGGCGCAGTATCAGGGAATCCGACGTACAGCTGTGGAATAGCGTAACCATCCACGCTGCCAGTGTTGCTCACCTGTGCAGTGAGGGTGTACACGGTATCCCAGAGAGCGGGGTTGCCACCAGGCTGGACAGAACGTTGCTCCGGAAGGGCAGTCAAGTTCGAGGCCACCGGCTTAGCAGCGACCAGCTTGGTCAAGTTATAGGTGGTGTAACTGAGACCGAAGCCGAACTCGTAACGGACGGGGATGTTGTGGGCATCGAAGTAGCGGTATCCGACTTCGAGCTCCTCGTCGAACCAGCTCTGCCAGTCGTAGGTACCGTTGGTAGCGACAGCGGTGGTGAGCGGAGCGTTGTAGTCCGATTCGTTGTAGGCGATCACATAGGGCAGCTTGGCGGAGGGGTTGGCGTCGCCGAAGAGGAGGTCGGCGATGGCGTTACCGGCTTCCTCACCGGGGTAGTGGGCGGCCAGGATGGCGGTGACGTTGGGGTGGTCGGCGAAGGGGAGGACATTGACACCAGCGGAGTGAGTGACCACGACGGTGTTATTGCAGTACTTGGCAACGGCTTCGACGACGGCATTGCCGTTCCAGTCGAGGGTCAGGTAGGTGCGGTCGACATTTTCCTCGGACCAGGACTTGAGGAAGACAAGGCACACGTCGGGCTGCTCGGGGTTCCAGAGCTCGGGCATGGACTTCTCCGTGATGAGAGTGTTGTTGAGCCAGGTCTGCACCCGGCCGCCGTACTGGCGGGCACGCGTTGTGATGGCATCCTGGGGAGTGGAGAGGTAGCTGAAGCGGCAGGTACCGGAGCCACCGGCGTTAGCGAGCACACCGTATTCGAAGTCGGTCTGGGTGGAGGGGCCCTGGGTGTCGGAGCCGGCGTCGTTGCCGACGATGACGATGTTACGGGGCTTGCGCAGGGGTAGTGCGTTGCGCTCGTTCTTCAGCAGGACGGTGGATGCAGCGCCGTGTTCGCGGATCATGGCGCTGTTGTTGCCGCGAACGTCGCGGTTGGTGGGACCTGTGAACTTCCAGTCGTAGAGCCAGGTGTCGGGGGGTGAGTCGACGTTCAGGGGACCAACAGAGGCGTCGACGCTGGGGTAGTTCTTGTCTTGACCGAGCCAGAAGTAGGGCGTCATGATGCGCACGATCATGTCGTCGATCCGGTCGGTGGTGATGGTGCCGTTGTTGATGGCCTCGGTGAGGTTCTTGCCGAAGTAGGATCCCTCGGTCCACAGCTCGCCGTAGACGGTGAAGCCACCGGGCATGGTCATGTCCATGCCGCTCTCAGCGGAGGCGACACCACTGTGGGTGGCACCCCAGTCGGACATGACATAGCCTTGAAAGCCCAGCTCGGTCTTGAGGAGGTGGTTAAGGAGGTACGAGTTCTGGCACGAGTGGGAGCCGTTGACACGGTTGTAGGAGCACATGAAGCTGGCGACGCGAGCGCGGGCGGCGTTGGCGAAGGGCCACATGTAAATTTCGTGAAGGGTGCGGTCATCAAGGTTGGAGGAGACAGAGTCCTGGATGTAAGTTGTGGCGTTGGCGTCCGGGGCGTAGGTAGGGTTACGCTGCGTCTCTTGTTCGTTGGCAATGAAGTGCTTTGCGTTGGCTTGCACACCGGCGTCTTGGATACCGAGAATGGTCTCCTCCATGCAGACACCAGTTAGGTAGGGATCGGCCGCGAAGCCTTCCCAGGTACGTCCGTCATAAGGACTACGACCGAGGGGACCGCCGATGGGACCGAGGACGACGTGGGTGCCCTTGCCCTTGTGCTCTGTAGCCATGGCATATCCACGGTCGTATAGCAGTTTACGATCCCAACTGGCAGCGGCGGACACACCGCTGACGAAAACGCTGGAGTAGTCACCTTGCTGAATACACTGGGGACCATTCTGCAGACAGAGACCAGTGAAGTTGAGGCGAGGGATGGGGAGAATGTTTCCCACGCAGGGACCCGGCTGACCGGTGGCCATCCAGGCTTTCTCCTCGACTGTGAGCTGCGATACCCAGTTCTTGGCCTGAACCAGGGCCTTTTCCCAGCCACCCTTGCCCTTAGTTTCGGCTATGACGAGGTCAGCGATACGCTCATGGCTCCTCATGAGGACATAGTGGACTTACGAGAAGGGAATACCGGTGGGGAGCTGCCATAGGGAGTAAGGATAGAGGTATTGAGAGGCTGGACGTAGCTGTTTGGCTCGCCTACATGGTTGATAGGTTCCTGGCAAGTGCTGGCACCCACGGATGGAGCCAGCAGCAGGCCAGACAAAAGCAGGGCGTGGTCGGCCGGGACCTTCATGGCGTTGTATGAGCCGGACTTGTCAAGTTGCTGGCTGTGAGCACCTATCCTTCATCTTCTACCGCCGACAATTGCACCCTTATATACCTAGATACATACACACCCTGGCTGGTCGCGGTGCATTCCCGGGTTTTGCTGGAGTGGAGAATGCGGAGGCCCGCAAGGCCGGGTTGGATGAGGGCTAGAAAGCCGGGGTCGGCCTCGTGCCGAGCTGGGACTCCACAACCGAGAAGCGATGCCAATCGCGAGGGTTTTGACGGCCCGTTTCTGCCCAGCCGGGGGATGATGACTTCGTTTGCTTTACTCCATCGGTCACCTTTGGGGTCAGCCGAAGTTTTGCCGGTGGAGGGAAAGAAAATAACGCTCAGGCAGTTAATGGTGCCACTCGTGGTGATGAGGATCCTCTCATTCTCTACCCCGTGGGATCTAGTAGCCCCAGTTGTCGGAGGAACCCCGTGGGTAATGACGTAGGGTGAATGCATTCTGTCGGTCGGGAATGAGGATGACCGACGAGTCGGGTAGCCTGGCATGACTCTCCAATACAAATTATGCCTCTCGATCTCACCGGCTTGTCTTTGGATGCCAATGCGGTCCGACCCCGCTAGGGCTTGGCAGGCACCCCCACGATGAGCCCGGCAAATACCCGTCTGCTGTTCCGAAGAATCCGAAAGGGATCATGGTTAGGAAGGTTCCCGTGAGAATGGAAGAATCTACGTGAGGAATGCAAAGGAGGTAGATGAGCAGTGTGTAGTAAAACTGGTGCTGTCAACCCCAGGTTTTACATCCCCAAAGTCACGTGGGAATATGCATGATGCACGAGATTTGATTTGGGGGAAAAGTCGGGGGTGAAGATGAGGGGAAAGAAAACCCTGCCCCAAGTCCCCAACAGACAGTGCGTCATCATCCTAGAGTATTAGTAATCCTTTACTAAAGACTACAGATAAAATCTCTCTAGTAGTTAGTAGTGAGCTAGAAATGCAAGGAAGAGGAGTCGGAATGCAGTCCGAAGTTGGCCTTGATTCCCGATAAGGAAGGCAGAATGGCAAAGGCCCGAGGTTTCCCCGGTGACTCTTCGGCCTGCCTTCACAAAATACTAAGCAGGGACAGCCCTGTGGTCACTGGTCAGACATGCCGGGAGTCGGGAATTCTGGGAGAACATACCAAGTAGGTATGCCGAATGCTTGTGCTTGGGGCTTTCACTATGGGGCCGACGGAGGGAAAGAGGCTTGGCGATTGGGTCTCCGGCATCTTAATATGGGCTTGATAATCATTAACCTACAAGATTCTCCAGTCAAGATGGCCTTACTATTGGCTTCCTCACGCATCCACCTCCCACCTCTTACTTCCCAGCAACCCGCAAAGGCGTGATGAATGGAGTCGAATGGAGGATTCCGTGGGGTCGGCGCTAACAAATGCATGGGAAGTTGGGAACAAACAATAGCCGGACAGGCAATTATCCGCTGTTCCCTGGCCTCGTCGGAATAGAATGACAGAGCCACCGGTTCTACGAGAATCCAATTCCGGCGCATGCATGAGAAACATTTCTTCGTTCGGATCACCAGCGGGAGCCGGGCCGGATACAATAAAAATGCGCCCGCCTTGGCTGAGGGCAAAGTCAGTGGAACCATCTGTAAGCTGTCTTGGTTTCAGCTAAGTTTACATAGCATATTTGACCCATAGTCCGTAGCGCAGTGATGCGTCGATATACAGATTTTAGGGTGCCACTATTTGTCGCGCCTGCCGCAAACAGCAGCGATCTATTCAGAACACGCATGGTTTCCCCACTGCCTACAATCATGCTTTGTTTTTCTTCATGATCTGCCCTGATTCTTTGGGTATGGAAACTGGAGCTGCCGACCGTAGGATGGCGATGAAAAGCCATTCATGCGATCGGCTCTTTCAAGTCTGGATATGAACGGACCACTGCAGGGAGCCGATACAAAAACGGATTTTCCGGCTACCTTATACCACAGCTTTCTAACTCACTGTAGCTTATGCAGCGTTAGCTTTTTTGTCCACCCGAGTGGTCTTGTGACCCTTTGCTCTGTGGCGAGACTCGTGCAGGAGGCATCATCTATGAAAGTAACTTCCTCACTGCATCCACTGCGGATACACTCTAAGAACGGAGTAATCTCTGAATGAGTCTCCACAGCTAAATGCGTCGAAAGTCAACAGAGGAGATAAGAGAGGCACTGCCTGTCATTTCCGCGATCTTCCATTCATTTGGCATTGTCACAACTTACCGGGCGACTCCCACCCATGGGTCATCAAACTCTACCACCGCCATCCTGGTCATGGACACACCCAGCAGAGTTCATGAGGTATCAATGACCTCACGTCTACACGCCAAGAGCCAGTCAATTCCCAAGAGAAGCGATTATCAAGGAAGCCAGGTAATACCGGACCAAGTCTAGGACGCGTTCTCGACGTCGAAGGCCCAAAGCAATGAAATATAAGAGCAAAGAGCTATCCAGACAGTCGAAACCCCCAAACTGTAACGCATATTTTTGATCAACTATTAGTATCTCTTGCGCCAAGATGACTAAAGGTCTGGTGAGTAGGATGGTCTTTGTTGTGGCACAGATTCATGCTAATAAGAATGGGGCACTGGAGACCTTCGATATCCGCTACGACAACGAGCTCGCCCATCAATACTACGGGGAAGGGGACCAGCTCACTCAAAAGTAAGATGAAGATTACAGTGGTTCGATTGGCCGGCCAAAGCAGAGCTAACTATGGCCCTATAGGCTCCAAGACGTCTATAAGGACAAAAACCTGGAGTTCCCCCAACATTTCGATTCCACACTGACCACCCCACCGATCCACTTCATGACGTGCGTCACATCACGCTTTTTCTTGCTGAAGTATAGCTAACGGTAGCAGGGTCGAGGCGCCTGACGATGTAGATGTGGACGGACTGAGGGATGTGCATGTCCCTCCAGGCTTGAATGTCGAGATTCTCGACTTCGATTGAAATTTCTAGTAAATAGTTTGGAGGACAAAGAAATTGGAAGCACTGCAATGACGTAGCATTCAAAAGAATCAAATCTGTACAGATAGGGAATAGAGAACTCCAGTAGTCTTTTTGGGTGTCGGCTTCAATCTGGGATTTTCAGCTTAGCGCCGGTGATCGGGCCGATCGAATGGCAACAATTTCCCCCGCCATTTCTGACAGACGCTTCAAGTTCCTCCCCTATCTATTATTGCATCAACCCATCCCAGGGGACCATTTCCTCATTCCCAGAGATGCCTCCCGCCTCAACGCCGACATCGGGGCCTTCGCCCCCGATATCCAAGCGACGTAAAACACGCAAGGGCACCTTCTCGTGCTGGGAGTGCAAGCATCGAAAGCGACGCTGCGAGTTCGAGCCCCTGAAGGGCTCCACTTGTCTTTATTGCCAGTCGCGAGGCATTCCCTGCATCAGCCAGGAACATGTCGATCCACGAAGCCGCAGTAGCGCCTCCCAACTATCGGAGCGGATTTGCCACGTTGAATCCTTGGTTGACCAGTTGATTCGGCAGCGTGACAGCTGTCAACCTCAGGTCCAGCCACCGGCTCAGTCTCGCGACCGAGCGAGTTCCCCCCGGCCGAAAGAAGCCTTGATACTATCGCCCTTTCAGCAGCTGTGCAAATCCCTCGCGGCTGTACTGCCTCATCCGAATACGGCCGCGCTCATTTTGACCAAGGGTCGATTCTTCAGTCTTCCTTTCCAGACTTGCCGGTCCCCAGTCCGAGATCAATCGGCTGTCTTCTCTGGTCTAGAACAGTCTGGAGATGTTTCCAGGCTACCATTGCCTACGTCCCATCCGATCCAATATGCTCAGAAACTCATAGAGCTCGCCCTCGGCTTACAGCAGCTGGATCTCACGTCATTTCCACGCCCACAACTGCAGCTGCAGCTAAATCATTCCACTGGCCACTCTTCTCGACGTTATCTCGATCTAGCAGCTCGCCACGTAACGTCGCAAGACACACTCGTAGATTCCCTTGATGGTCTTGATACTCTGTTACTGGAAGCCCGTTATTACATCAATACCGGGGAGCTGCATTCAGCTTGGCTGATCTTTCGCCGTGCTCTGAGCATTGCCCAACTGATCGGACTTCCTAGGAAAAGTGACGAAGCAGAGAGCCGCGCGGCATCGCTCTGGATTCAGCTCGTATATAATGATAGATTTCTGTCGCTAATGCTAGGTCTTTCATGTGAGGTGAAAGACATTGAGCTCCTGGATAGGGAGACGTTGAATAAATACTCACCTCTTAGAAAGCTATATCGCATCCATGCTGTCATCGCAGGTCGGATAATCGTCCGAAATGTGCATATGCAGCATTGCGATCAGCTATCTCAGAGCACATACGATCATTATGCAGTGACACGCGGCATAGATGATGAACTAAGAAAGGAAACCCGATCAGTGCCTATAGATTGCTGGAAAGTTCCCACACTAGAAAGTACGTTGTCGGATACCGACAAGATGGACAGAGTCTCTATGCTCATCACCCAAATGCACCAATATTACCTCGTGATCCTCCTTCACCAACCGTACTTGCTCCTGCAACTCAGGAATCATACAGAACTCAGCCGGTCAGCATTATCATGTATTCTACCCGAATATTCATACAGCATACAAGTGGTCGTCCCTGCAAGCCGTGAAGTCCTGAGTCGCTGTCTCGAATTCCAGAATATACGACCCATCCTTTCCTATCGTGGGCTTGAGCATAAAGCTTTCATCTCCGCAGTGACACTGCTCTTATCTCATATCTTGGGACACCGATCGGGATCTGAGAACGTCTTGGAACATCAACGCCCTCAAGACCTGGCCATGATACAACAGGCTATTGACACCTTAGCCGAAGTCTGCACAATGGATGGCCCAAATAGAGATTCTGCAATCAAGACAAGAAGTTGGTTAAGCAGACTACTAGATATTGAGGCGGAGGCAGCCGATGGCATCAATTACATTGCATGCATTGAACGGGACAATGTTGGCCCAGATGATGCTCTATGTCATACCTCCCACCAAGGCCTGAGGTTTCCCATTCCATACTTTGGAGTCATCTGCATGATTCCTGAGCCAGTCCCAGATTTGCAATCAGATGGCCAACTTTCGGAATCTGCACAGGCAATAGGACCAGACACTGCGCAACTTGGGCCATGCCTTGACTCACATGGACTTCCTTCGACCGTTACAGAATTGGACATTGGTCGTGGCCTACATTCCCAACTTGCCTTGTTGTCCGATGTTCAATCAGAGCTGCAGTCGCTGTTTGACTGGACAGGTGACCCGAACATCCTCTACGAAGACTAAGCCACATCGCTACGTTTAATAATCATCATGGACAAGAAGTGGAAATCGAACAACTGTATATACATTGTCTCCTAGCGCAGCATGGCAAGCTATCCATTCAGTATCTTCCACTAATACATAGCAAGAAAACCCCTTTCACAGTGGTGGGGTATCGGCAAAGTCAAAGCCAGTCAAGGCCTGAAAGCGCACACCCACAACACTTTGTGCGATCCGCCGAATTGATTGTTCTTCTTCCTCCGACAACTGGAAAGACAGACTAGCCAAGTTCTCCTCCAATCGATGAATTTTGCTCGTTCCCGGAATGGCAAAGATGTCGTTACCCTGGGTGAACAGCCACGCCAGCGCCAGCTGTGCCGTGGTCATACCCTTTCCTTTCGCGATCTCCGCCAGCTGGTCCACCACAGCAACATTCTTCTCGATATTCCCCTTCCTGAGCCAGGGAAGCACACCTCGGACATCTCCGGGCTTACTGACGTCCTCCCGCGACCGAATTGCCCCGCTAAGGAATCCGTTGCCGAGCGGGCTATACGCCACGATAGCCACACCGAGCTCGCGCGCAGTAAGCAGTAACTGCACCTTCGGGGACTCGATATCAGTGCAGAAGACGCTATACTCTACCTGTACACACGAGATGGGGTGCACAGCATGGGCCCGACGGAGCGAGTCGGCACTGCACTCGCTCAAGCCAATATATCTGATCTTCCCCTCTTGCTTGAGCGCAACCATGGCTTCGATGGTCTTCTCAATAGGAGTGACTTTGTCCAGGCGATGGACGTAGTACAGGTCCACATATGGCAATCCGAGGCGCTTCAATGACGTCTCAATCGCAGTCCGACAGTACTCGGGACTGGAATCCATCCAATTCTTCAAGCCGTCTTTAGCATTCGGATTGGTGCAGATGCCGAACTTGGTGGCCAGGAAAACATCCTTCCGTTTATCAGGGTTCTGAGCGAACCATTTGCCCAGAACGGTTTCGGAATCGTCATATTTATCCGCTATGGCTGTCAGAGTCTGCGTGCTTTATTAAATCTTTGAATGGGTACATACCGGTATCCCAAAATGTCTCACCCCTCTGGTATGCCTCGTCCAGGAACTTCAGATGCTCAGCTTCTGGGAGAGGTTGACCATAAGTACCACTAGCACCCATGAGTCCAAGGCCGATTCGCGGAATGAGCGGGCCGTTTTTGCCCAGAGAGCGAGCAGGGAGTTGGTTGAAACCAGTCATTGCGCAGTAATGAGGGGATAACTAGCAGACTCTTATCTATTGGAGATGTCAGGCCTAACAACATGTCAATTCAGCTCTTTTATGCCTTTATAATGCCGGACTTTGCGGCGGAATTGACTGCCTCCCACGGTGACATACTACGTCCTTGATGCCTGAGGCCGAAATCCTCAACGGTTCCGCCGCTTAATTCCGCCGCTAACTCCGCCGTCGCCGATCGCCATCGCCGATCGCCATCAACGCGATGCCTTGTTTTGTTGCAGCTCACAGCTGGACAGTCGGCCAGAAGGCCATCACTGCCTTCGCATAGCCACAAGCTCTTTGTGGGTTTGAGCATATGTCATTATGGAAAATGGTATAAGGTCTACTTTCACGTGTCGTCTTTTCCGAACAGCTCTCATCTTTGGCCTGGCTTTCCCGAGCCCAGACATCTACGGAGTACGACCGATACTAGACCAGGAGAGCAGGGCCACTGTTGTCTAACGTTCTCCTAGTCCAGGCGCCTCTCCTTAGGTTGTACCTAGGATACACTGCGCCTGAGACAGCCGGGGGTTCCGGATACGGATGTGGTGAGGTCATCCCGGACACAGAGTTTCAGTGTAACCACCGTCCCTCATATAAGTCGACGGCCACGTCGCCCTCATTTTGGGGCAGGATGGGCCGTCCCAATAATAGCAACATTCAATCCAACTTCGTTCTTGATAGTGTCAATCCTTAAGACGCAGTCAGAATGGTCCACCTGTCGACCGTCCGTAAAGAGTCCCACGCCCATCAGCGTCAGCGCGAAGAACGCGATGCGCAGGCAGCCGCAGTGTCACCTTACGTGTACGGGACGCGCTATGCAGTCGAAGAGCTTCCCGAGCATAGCATGTCGGAGCATGAAATGCCAGCCCCGGTGGCATATCGCATGATCAAAGATGAGTTGAGTTTGGATGGGAATCCCCTGCTCAAGTAATACTTCGCTTCTTTTTGAACTCTTCGAACTGTCGATAGTAACATGTTCCAGTTTAGCCAGCTTTGTCACTACCTATATGGTAAGATGATCATTGGGTAGCAAGTACAATGCTCTCGCTAACTCTATCCCAGGAAGATGAGGTGCAGCAGCTCATGTCTGACGCCATGAGCAAGAACTTCATCGACTACGAACAGTATCCACAGACTGCACATATCCAGAACCGCTGTGTCAATATGATCGCCGGTCTGTTCCATGCACCTAGCCTCAATGACCCAAGCAACGAGCAAGACGCCATCGGCACGTCGACGGTCGGATCCTCAGAAGCGATCATGCTGGCCATGCTGGCCATGAAGAAGCGCTGGCAGAACAAGCGGAAGGAAGCTGGGAAGGACTGGTCGCGCCCGAACATTATCATGAACAGTGCAGTACAAGTGTGCTGGGAGAAAGCCGCGCGGTATTTCGAGGTCGAGGAGAGATATGTCTATTGCACGGAGACCCGCTATGTTATTGACCCCAAGGAGGCGGTGGATCTGGTGGACGAAAACACGGTGGGAATCTGTGCCATTCTAGGGACAACGTACACAGGGCAGTATGAGGATGTCAAGGCAATCAATGACCTGTTGATTGCGAAGAACATCGACTGCCCAATACATGTGGATGCGGCTAGCGGCGGGTTTGTGGTGCCCTTTGTGAAACCAGAGCTGGAGTGGGACTTTCGCCTGGAAAAAGTCATCTCCATAAATGTCTCAGGGCACAAATACGGACTGGTGAGATACATCACAAACTAATACACCTCGCCGAATGCGGACTCAGACTGATCGTGACAGGTCTATCCTGGCGTTGGTTGGGTTTTCTGGCGCGCCCCCGAATACCTTCCCAAAGAGCTCATTTTCAATATCAATTATCTGGGCGCCGAGCAGGCCAGCTTCACGCTGAACTTTTCCAAAGGCGCCCCCCACGTCATCGGGCAATACTACCAACTGATCCGGCTAGGGAAGCATGGCTTCCGATCGATCATGACCAACCTCACGCAGACTGCCGACCATCTAGCAGCGGAATTGGAGAAACTCGGCTTTATTATCATGAGTGACGGTGGAGGTCGGGGTCTTCCTCTGGTTGCATTCCGATTGCCCGAGCAAGAGGGCCGGCTGTACGACGAATTCGCCCTGGCCCATGTGCTGCGTCGCCGCGGATGGGTGATTCCGGCGTATACCATGGCGCCGAAGTGTAATCAATTGAGGATGATGCGGATCGTGCTGCGTGAGGATTTTAGCTTGCACCGGTGTAACCTGCTCGTGGAGGACATCCGACTGGGCTTGAAGACGCTAGAGGATATGGATGAGACCATGATCAAGCGGTACAGCACGTAAGTCATTTTTCCTTTTCTATCTCTGCCTCTGAAGGCGACCGGGCATAAATTGACACCCAGCAGATACATCCAGACACATGCTACACGCGGACCACAAGGTCATCCGGTGTATGGAAACGAGCAGCATTCGCTTCAGGGGAAGTCGGGAAAAACACATGCGGTCTGTTGAACCGGTCATTTGTGCGCGGTGTAGTAGTTACTTTACCACTACTGTGTTTGTCAGTCTACCTGTGATACGTCAGCTTCCCCCCAAAACCTTCGCCAGCCATCATCCTTGGTTTTCTTAGTATTAGTAGCTATTCTGTGAAATCTATCAGTGCCAAGTCATCCTCAACAGACGTATCTCTTAGTCCGGGAGGCTGTCAGCGGTAAGCGAGCTTGAATCAAGGAAAAGTAAGGTGCATTCGACTGGCAAAGGCCGCAGCAATCGCCAGCACGTCCAACGAGCTCGTGCCCGGGTGCGTCAATGCAGCTGTCTTTTCCGGCTGCAACGAACCCCTCCCTCCCTTACGTAGAGTCTATTTGGCTGCATGCTGCGAGCGACCATTTGCCAGTATTGATAGGCCGCGTAGTGGGCTCCACGCCCTCGCAGGACCGGACGCCTTCGGTGCATGAACCCACCAGTCGAGCTCCACCGATAAAAGTAAACTCCGGTGAACGGCTGCAATGTAATAACAGCTTGTACAGTAGATTAGTGCACAAAAACGTTGGACTTTGTTGGATATGATCCAGAAGGAAGAAAAAAAAAACTTCACTTGTGGCCCTCAATGAGGTCAATCCTGACACACTTTGCATCCCCGGTGGCGCGGCGCCGAGCGATCTCCGGGTCATCAACAACGTTGGACCTTGCAACGTTCGAAACAGTTCCCCGATCTCGGTCACTCGCTGAAGATAATCGGGGACCACTGGCTAGAACCAGGGCGAACCAAATTCCGAAAGTCTGGTTGATAGACGACCTGTCATGTTCATAGAGAGACATAGTTCGCATTCACCGCGTCGCGCGCGACCCCTTTAGGGTTTTGAGTTCCGCGAAGTCGCTCAGACACACCGCAAGCAGCTGATGAATCACATCCGAGACAATCAATAGTCGGATTGACAATGCAGTAGTCAGAGTCTGACTATCAATAATCAACAGCCACTACGGTCCGTGGCCCTGTCAATCCGGGGTGTTTTTTCCCACTACCACCCCCTTCCTTCAGGTCTACTTACCAAGCAAGCAGCTACACGCTGGCTGACAGACAACAAGCTTCATCCTCACCCAACTATCGTATGCCTCTGTTCCTTGCACAAATTCAAACCTCGCTTACTCGTACTCGAGTTTTTCCCTCTCTTACGAGAAAACATTGAACTCTGTTTTGTTGCGCATCTGATCTAAGCATTGAAGCCTAATCCTCCGAGCCTCTTGTGACTTTGACCGCTACGAGATGAGCCTACGCAATGGAGTCCACTCGGAACGATAATTCCCTCCTAGTCCTTCTTTCCCTCCCCTCTGCTAGTCTGCATCCTCTGTCTGCCTCTGTTTTGACAACTGTGTTCACGCACTGCATGCTGCGCCCTCACTAGGCTACTGCTTTTCTCAGTTACAGTTCACATAGCTCAATTTTATCTCCTGACTATCACAATGCATTGAAGTAAAAGTTCCGGGGCAGCTCACATACGTACTGTACCAACTCTACCTTACTACTTATGTATCGCTCGTTCCCACTTCCTCGGCCATGAATTAGGTCGCAGGTAGAGAAAAGAAGGAAAGGACTCCGTACACCCGTCCAAACCAGCCAGCCAGCCCGCCAGTATGGCCAACATCATCTGGCTCGCCCTCGTCCTCGTGGCGTTGAGCGTCCACGTCCAAGCCAAAGACGTCTTCGCGCATTTCATCGTCCGTTTTCCCCCATCACCTTATTACTACCAAACTCCACTCACTAACTCTCCTCTCAGCTCGCCAACGCCGAAAACTTCACCCAAACGCACTGGACACGCGACATCACCGCCGCCAAAGATGCTCAAATCGACGCCTTCGCCTTGAACACCGGCTATGGTGCCGCCAACACCGACCAGCTCCTAACAGACGCCTTCACCGTCGCAGCAAAACATGACTTCAAGCTTTTCCTGTCCCTCGACTACTCCGGCGACGGCCATTGGCCTCCCGACCAAGTCCTGAAAGTTTTGCAAGGCTACGCCAATCACACGGCCTACTACCGCGTCGATAACCAACATTCATTGGTCTCCACCTTCGAGGGTTACGAAGCCCTGGCCGATTGGTCCACCATCAAAAAAAAGGTACCCAATATCTATTTCATGCCCGAATGGTCCGTCCGAACTCCCGAGCAACTAGCAAGCGAAGACGTCGTAGACGGGTTACTTTCATGGAGCGCATGGCCGTACGGGACGGCGCAGATGAACACGTCCACAGACGAAGAGTACATATCCGCTCTGAAACCCAAGGGCAAGCCGTACATCATGCCCGTCAGCCCGTGGTTCTACACCGACATGGTACGGTACCACAAGAACTGGGTATGGCAGGGCGACGGCCTGTGGCATACGCGGTGGAAGCAGGTTCTCGACTTACAGCCGCAATATGTGGAGATTCTTACGTGGAACGACTTCGGCGAGTCGCATTACATCGGCCCGCTGCACGAGAACGAGCTAGGGATATTTTCGTTTGGGGAGGCGCCGTTTAACTACGCGTCCGGGATGGTGCATGATGCGTGGCGGATGTTTCTTCCGTACATTGTGGGTGAATACAAGAATGGGAGTGGGAAGGGGGTGATTGAGAAGGAAGGGGTGGTGGTTTGGTATAGGGTTACGCCGGCGTGGGCATGCAAGGCCGGCTTAACTACGGGTAATTCGGTCACGCAGGGCCAGCAGACCGTGCCGCCGGGGCAGGTTTTGAAGGATGAAGTGTTTTTCCAGGCGTTGTTGGAGGATACCGCGGAAGTGGAAGTGAGTATCGGTGGTGGGGAAAATAAGTCCGTGGACTGGTTGGATACGCCGAGTGGTGGGAGTGGTGGTGGTGGGAGGGGATTGTATTTTGGGAGTGTGCCGATGGATAATCGCACGGGTGAGGTTGTGGTTACGTTGAGTAGGGATGGGAAGTTTGTGGCGCAGATGATTGGAGAGAAGATTACGACGCAGTGTCCGGATAAGTTGACGAACTGGAATGCGTGGGTGGGCACGGCGATGTCGAATGTCTCGAATGCTAGTACGTCGCGTGCATCGTTGTCGGAGGAGAATGGTGCGGCTGGTGTGAGGATTGGAGGAGGACGTGGGATGGCCATGCGGATGGGGGTGTTGTGGACAATCGTGATGGTGGGTATGGGTGGAGTTTTGCTTTAGATCTCTTTTCCGTTTTAGAGTCTCGATCGATCTTCATATCTCGATATACTGGTAATAATATCTAATATCTTGGACTATTTCTCGATTTTTGGTGGATCATGTCGTTCTGCACGGAGAGTTTCCGAGAGCCCTATGTGATTGCTTGTAGGTGTGATCTGCGCAAGATTAGGGCTGCCGGAGTAAACCGATCGAATGGGTCTGCGGCTCTGAGGTGGATGAGGGAGCCTTGATTCAGAACAGAGAGCGATTACCGCAAGTGGAAGAATAGAGAGTTGAGCTTGACTCGGTCACATAGGCGTTTCGGCGTCGCCGAAGGACGTGCACGGGCTGGTGGGAACAAAGGGGCTTGGTTCTTGATGCTGATGGGTGGATTTTGGGGATTTTGCCGTCGGGGGGGAATTAGATAATCTATACACCCCCCGGTCCCTGCTGGGCCATGTGGGATGTAAAGGTGATCGTCGCTGGTCATGACTATACTATACTCAATAGAGTCTGGTGTTGATATCAGTTTGGAGATATGAGCCTCATGTTGGAGAAAATGGTGATCCTAGTTCTTAGACCATGCTGCAGATTACGATGATCTGGGGTATTCACTTATCCACTTGATCGAGATTCTGGACAGAGGCCTGGACCGTTGCTAGATCGAGTGCACCTTTGGTGATGTCCTATGGCATGTCGTCCGTCTATGACAAGCATATTCGCCCTGGATACGAGCATATTTGTCAAAACATATCAGGATAGGTTACGACCCTTAGAGATGTAGGATATACCATATGACAGTCGGAGCAGCAACATCTAGTCTCTACTTTGACCTGCCCTATTGGGGCAGAAGACACAGGACAGCAGGTTATCCCAATAGCACAGGAGTATTAGGCTTTACTCGGTCTTTGTCGAAAACCCAATTGTCCAATGCCTAAAGAGACTTCAGCATTTCCGACCCCAGTCTCACGAGGCAGTGCCCGAACTCGACCCATCAGCGGCCGGTATTTCAAGTCAATGACGCAAAGACCAAACTCTGCTCGCCACCGGCCGGCGACACCGGTGTCCTAGCTTTTCCACGTCTGGGGTTCGGCCGGTGCCCAGCAAGAGTCGGCGCTGGCTAGACGCACCTTATTGTATTGATTGCACTTTGACAGCTCTTGGGACCTTATCAGGCTATTCTTCACGGCCGATGAGTGGGCCTTCGGACTCGGCCGCCAGTGGCAATGGCCTAGACTCCACCAGCCCTGCGCAAAGTATGCAAGTGCGAGCTATCTTCAGAACTCAGGAGTTGCTGGTCCAGGGGAGAAGTATAAAAATTGCCCTGATTCCTGCCCCTGACCTGGAAGTCAGATTACAAGCAGAATAATCAGATTCGCACTTCACATCAATATCCTAAATGCAATAACACGACGACTACGAGATACCATCACTACCTCCTAGTGCCATTATCCCCAGCACTCCCTCTACAATAATTACCTCTTCGACACTTATTTCTTTCACAGCGTCAAACACAATGGCCGGTATCGAACTTCCTCCTCACCTGATGCGTCAGGCCACCCGCACCAACAGCCGCATTCCTCCCATGGCTCGTCGCTCCGTCTCTCCCTTCCCCACTCGCATGGCCGCTCTCTCCCGCGACAAGCTTCAAAAGGAAGCCTCTACAAAGAACCCCGATCTGCGCCGATGCCTTGCTCACCACACTCTCCTCAACCGCTCCATTGAAGCCGCCCAGCAAGACGTGCGTCGGCGCATGGCATCCTTCCACCTTGATGAAGAAGACGATGATGACTTCACCACCTCCTACCACTCTACACCCAATGAGGCTACGGCTGTGCCTCTCATCCGGGTCCAGATCACCAATGCTGTGCGGGCTATGGTGAAGCGTCGTGCCGCAGATAGCCAGCAGAACGACCAGCTGAATGGGTTGACGCGGGTGTCGGCGAATGCAGACAAGGCGGTGAACAACAACAGCAGCAGCAGCAGCAGCAGCAGCAGCAGTATGAAGAGTCTGAAGAGGGTCCCTCGTGTGGTCTTCGGTCGGCGTCGCTGGCCTTTGTATGGAGCGGGACCACTGCAGACTGGATTGGTTAGCTGACACGGCGATGGTTGCAGCATTCATAGTGTGGCTTCGTGACGGGCTGCGGCTGGACCTCGCCTTTGGCATCCCTGTTTTGTTCTTCATTCAGCGACATGTTCCTTCTACTGTATTACTTTATTATTTTTTCCTCATCCCTTGGACAGACAGGATGCCTTGTGTCACGTGCAACAGATATGATGGGTCTTGTATATAATAATTGTCTTTACACTACACTATAGGTGTTATACTATACTATTTAGAATACGTCATACATTATACATTCATCCATTCTATGACACTTCCATAGTAAACCCCAATTGATTTACAACCACAAGCGCAGTGTAGACTACCAATGACCCACGCCGCCCGATCTTAATCGCTGATTGCTGCACATCCATCACTAGTCGCCGATCAGTCTCACTCATCCGACCCGCTCCGCCCAATCAATCCCCTCACCCTATCCCAATCAGGCAATTCAGCTCTGCAGTTCAAATCTCAGCCGCATTCCAAACCCACAATCCCCCCAGCTTATAAAAATGCCTCCCAGCCCCCACGCTCGCATTCTTTTTATCTTCCCATCTTCCTCATCGCCAGAATAAAATCAGAAAACCAGAAAAAAAATGCCACAATGGATACCCCCGGCTCAATTCCTCGCTATCCAGATCCTAACCGGCACCACCGTCGCCTTCACCCCAGCTAACTCTCCCCTCCGATCAATCGCCTCCCTCCTCGTACTTGTCCTCGCCTACTGCATGCAAATCAGCGCAAATGCCCACCTCCATGGCACCCGCTTCGGCGCCCCGCTCGTCGCAATGTGCTGGATGAACGTTCTCAACGGGATTGATTTGCTAGTCCTGACGCGCGCAGACTACGATAAACAGCTCGCATACAACAACACAAAGCTGAAGTCAACCTCCGACAAATCACCAAATAAACCGCAAAGCAAATCTCTCCTCGAAAAATACCTCTGGTCTCTAAATCTCTCCTTCAACTACCGCCGCATCAACACCCCCTGGCAAATCCGCGCTCTCACCACGTTCAACAAAATCCCAACTCGGACCCAATTCCTCCTCACCTCCCTCCTCAAACTCACCATCTCCATCGCAACCATGCAGCTCCTCACACTCGAGACCACCGATCCGTATCTCGGCCGCGCAGTGGAAAAATTACCCGTTCGACCAGACGAGATAATACTCCCGTTCTGGTATCATAGTGGCTGGGGCAAAGATGACCTCGTGCTTAGATTCCTCTTCACTCTCTCGTTTGGAATCGTGGCGCGTGCGTTCATTGTCGCGGGATATACCTCTGCCGCGGTGGTAGCTGTAGCATTGGGCCAAGAGCCGAGTATGTGGCCGCCTGTCGGGGGTGGATTGCTGGATGCGTGGTCGATTAGGAGGTTCTGGGGGTATGCATACACTCTACTCCCTTTTATTATTCATACCTTATATTAACGAAGTATGCAATACTACAGAAAAACATGGCACCAAACCCTCCGCCAACTCCTCTGCTCGAACGCCGACTTCGTCTCGGGATCTATTTTGCGTCTTCCGGTCCGATTCCAGTGGTGCTTCCGGGTGATTTTCGCGTTCGTTGTTTCAGGTTTAGTGCATACGGGAATGGATGTAGGGTTCGGGGTACGGATTGATGAAAGCGGGGCATTGTGGTTCTTCGCGTTACAGATTTTGGGTGTGGCGGTGGAGATGCTTGCTGAGACGTTGTTGGCTCCTGTGAGTGTGTTTGTGCCGAGAGGACTCAGACGTGGGATTGGGTTTATTTGGGTAGCGGTTTTCATGATGTGGACTTTGCCGGTGTGGATTTATCCTATTTTGGTCCAGTTGTATGGAGATGGCGTGCGCATGATGAGTCCATTCTTGGGGTTTGAGGGATGGGATATTTGATTTGGTTTTGAATTGCATAGCGTTGGGGTTGGGTATTATTGTTATGTTAGATTATATTAGATTTATAGATGTATAGTAGGGATACTAGTGGTGGATGTAAACCTATAATGCTGCGTCCCAGTCTACCCAAGCGAATGTATTCAACAGGTCGAGATGGGGGTCTGCGCCTATAAGGTCCGGTAGCGCGTCTAGGGCTCTCGTCGGACTTTGTAGCGATGCCGGCATGCTGAGGATTCGGTCCAGTGAGCGTTGCAATATTCCCTTGATTTGCGCCTTGGCTGCGATGTCAGATTCGGAGGGCCGGAGCCAGTCGAGAAAGGCGACCAGCACACTGAGGTTCTGGATGATGTCCGATCGGGGAAGATCTAAGGTGTATGTTTCGGGGGAGCTGGATTGACGGAGAAGCTCGAGGCAGAGGATGCCGCTGCCTGGGACGGCGTAGGACATAGCCTGACATGCTGGCTCAGTATGGAGTAGACGTATTTATTGAAAAGGGGTGGAGTATCGTACCAGCCAGGAAAAATCAACGTGGTTCTCGAACCGGTCCTTGTGCTTCCAGTATATTAGGGTTAATCCGACCATTTCATGACTAACCTGGATCAGAGCTTGTTCGTCGACCACTCTGTGTCGGGTCAGAAGTCTCTCTAGGATGAACAGGTTGAGTAGAAAGTCCAGGCGCACAAGAACGCGCAAGGCGAGCAGCTGGCCGGGAATGTCGCGGTCGTGGACGTCTTCTGTCTTGAACTTGATGACCTCAGGAAACTGTGCATATATGTCTGTAGCTTGTCCTTTGAGTTGACTGTTTGCTTATCAGAAGTTGTGGGCGAAAAGGGGTGTATCTTAGACTGAGGGCATACAGGCATGTTTGTACTGCAACGTCAGTGATGCTATCCTGGGAAGTCTCTGATACTTCTAGCATCTCTTCGCGGTTCCTTGCTAGCATTGCGCGCGCTCGTAGGATTGTGGTTGGATACGGTTGTCGATCCACACTGCTGTCCCAACCATCGGAGTTGAGCTTGGCTACGGCATTGCCAATCCTGTCGGAAAATATGTCCTCGTCGTTAATATCCTGGGGCAACTGAGTTGTCGAGTATTTTCTGTTCAGAAGCGGTGGTCTTCCGGTGAAGGTAGAGATAACCTTGTCGAAATTGTAAATCGATGCGTAGACGCGTCGTTTGAGTTCGTGCTGGAAAGAGACCTCCTTCCAGTCGGACGACAATTCTCGGTGAAGACCAACTGATGTTGTGACTGCAATCACATCGCCATGTTGTCGCCAACATGAAAGACCTGTTGATCAGCTGTGTGTTCTCTGTGCAGATATCCTAAGCAGGACTTACTCTTATCACCGCTGGCAATGCTCTCAAGGATGTTATGCTTGAATGCCAGATTTACAAAGAGAATGTTGATAGCACCCAGCTGGCTACACAGCTCGATGCACATGGATGCACAGCGTTTAAAATGCACCATGAGTTCTTTGGGGCCCTTGAATGCATGTTGTCGACAGTACTGAGTAATGACATCGTGTTGCACCGGCAACTGTGAAGCCGCAGACGACCAAATAGTGAACAATGACCCTAGCAGCTCCCAACGCGTTCTCTTTCCCGAGAATGACTCGATCCAGCGGCGTGGATTCTGTTCAGCCGGCAATGGCGTGAGACTGCACTCTGAAAACCGCTTCGCAACATATTGTAGGTGCTCGCTGCTTCGCAGCCGGAGCACGTCTCGATACTCATCCCACATCTTATCAGAAGCGATCCGATAAGCTGGCCGGAAGCAGGCATCCATTAAGGCCATTGGATGGACGAAGAGCAAGTTGCAAGTTAGCTCATCCGGCAGGTTCTGTAGGATCTGGATCCCCAGTTGGAGCATTCTCGGTGTGATGGTAAGGTTCCCCGGCTGAGAGGAACTTTGCACCTCGACGCGATTGATGTCTTCGCTGCCTGGATCCCCCAGTGCTTGGTCCACTTCGAATCGATCCCGATGTTCCACGAACACGGATGCGAAACTCGTGGGCCCCAGGTACTCGGCTGAGCTTTCCAGTATTGGCGTGGTTGACTGTGCTCCAGGGCAGGTCTTGGTGCTTGGGGGCCCATCGCTCTCATTGCTCAAGGCAGTCGGCGACTCAGCCTCAGGCAGGCTTCTTGCTCTGTCTTTAGTGAGGGGATTGGCGAGATAGACGCATTTCAAGGACAATCGCCGACACCGCTGGCAAGCGGGGGTTTCGTGGTCGCAGGCCAATTTGCGCCGGCGGCATGCCTCACACGCAGGCTCTCGGCCATTCTTTCTCCTGAGAGCGGGCATGGAATAGATCGGAGTAGCCTTTACTACCAGATAAGAAGAAACACATTGTTACTTGTGATGGTGTTGTCAGATGTAGATAGTAGATGGCTGATGTGGATGCTGGAAACGGAATCGGCTTCGGCTTCGGCATGGATCGGACTCAAAAAGTGGGGCGCTCAAGAAGAAAAAGAGCAAAAAAGAATGACCAGACTGGGGCTCGATCCCAGGACCTTATCGGTGTTAACGATACGTGATAACCAACTACACCATCCGGCCATTGCTTGATAAACATTTTCATTATCAGTTTTATGTTTGACATTCTACTAGATATACAGCGGTCGCTAAATAAAGCTCCTGAAATCGAGCTCGAGGCTTATATACAGTTATGATTCGCCATTTCACCACGCCCGAGCTTATACTCGCATATCAGATGTAAGGAAGAGCATATTTTGGAAGAGAACGGATCGATAATACCTACTCGTTATGGGCTGGTCTTTACTATTTCTATCCGCTCGATGTGACAGATATATATATTTTGTCCTCCGTCATCATGCTACTAGTAATATTGAAAATATGAATGTAGATTATCAAAGTTTCATTGTATTCTAGTTCTGCATTGGGTACTTTTCGGTATCAACATATATCCGAACATTCGTCTATTCATGACGGACGGCTATCTCAACCCTGTAAATCGGTCGTATATCATCAAGAACATGGCATAAGGCGTGTCATCATCAACATCCTCAAGGTCTAGTTATCATCATACTTCAACTCGACCGTAATAACCAGGGACAGAACGAAGGTCGTCAAAATGATCTACTCATGTTAGTATTCTCCCCCGACGTAAATGCAGCGAGTCACAACTCACCAACCCAATTAAAACCCCAATACAGTTCAGCTCCCACCCCCCCGCATACACCGTCCCCAGAGCCACCACATTCTGCTGCTTCCAGAAGCGATACGCACCCATGGCAGCTATCAGAATTGCCACGCTATAACAGCTAACCGCCAGGGGGACCCCCACTTCATAGAACCCCAATGCTGGATCCGGCGAAGCTAAATGCTGGAGTCGAAATAATTGGGCGATCAGCACACCTTGCATGGCGACCATGACCGATGTGCGAATGTAAGCTAAGAAAGTTCGCTCTAAAGCTAAAAAGCAATGGGGGATGTCAGCAGCAGCCTTGCATTCCTTCTTCGTTGTTGTTGGTGAATGGATGGGCTCGTGATTGCCTGGCGCCATAGCCACGTGCGATTGCGCCATTTTAGTGGCATCAATAGTCATTAAAGCATATATCGGATGGAGTAATATGCGAGGTATATATCAAAAAGCGAGGTGCCCACTCACCGAAATGATCCCGATTACTCTTCTGCGGCACCGTCAACACCACATTTCGCGTCCAAAAGCGACGAACCCGTCCCGTCAACCCCTTGCTTGTGTCCTCCCGGTTGGAATGAGTGGTGCGGGAAACGGTCCGATGTGTGCGGACACGATATTCGCCCGAGGAGATCGATTCGGTTGAGAAGCCGGCCTCATCGTCATCTTGGGTGGCTATATTGCGGAGCTCGAGGGCATCCAGGTCGTTATCAGTGCTTCTGGCGTCGTCGTCATCGCGATGAGGTCGTTGAGCTGTGTGGCAGGCAGCTGGTGGGGTGAGAATCTCGCGACCGGTCGCTGCAGCGATCGCCTTGTCTGGTGCAGAAGAATGGTCCTGGCGATCAACCATGATGTACAGTAAGCTTCTTAGCTCTCGCACAGGAAGCTGTGTGACATGCTGCTACTGCCGATTCTGGAAGAAAAGATGGGAAAAGGAAAGGGTCGATGCGGTGAAGAGGCGTCACTGCTGGCTGGCAGGTTCCTTGGTTTGTTGGTCGGCGACTCCCCCCTGCTTCCCCGGCCGGCGCTTATCTGATTGGGTTCGGATACTCGGCAGTGGCAGAGCTTATCGCTCTTCCAGGTTTGTTGCTAACAAGGAATCGCCGATTGATCGATTTTATTTGCGAATTGACCTCGCCAGCGGTTATGACGTAATAGATTTGAGGACTATTTGCCTTGATTATATCCATTGAGATATAACTTCACGACAACGAGCAACTATCTCGACTAAAATCAAATCTCAGAAATCCCTCTGACCATCACGCTAATTATCCCCTCATTCAACCCCGGACCCTAACTCCGCTAATGCTCCACCCAAGCTAACACTGAGCACACTATGCCATGTTAATGCTCACCCACTCCTCCTGCTTATCGCCGAAAAACACCGATTCTGGCTTTGACACAATGTCAAACAGCGCTGCTTTCAGATACGCTTTACCCGGCACCTTTGGCGACAACGTGAATAGTGGGCTGTGTTCAAGCTACATCAGCATATGGTTCTAGGTGCGAAGCAAAACCAACAACTGACCTTCCACAACTGGAGCAAAAATGACGCTACAAAGACGGATTTAGCTCGGCACGCTTCAACTAGTGCCCTTGAATTGACGGGAACCCACCTGGATGATGTTCCCCGAAGAAGTGTTGGGATCGCTGTAGATCTTCATTGCCTGGCTGGGGTCTTCGATGGTCATGTCACTTTGATCGATGAAGTAGTTGATTGAGAAAGCTATTTGGGGTTAGTCCTAGGCGGCTACTGCGGGTAGAGATGGAAAGCGAAGACATACAGCCTCCTCCAGCTTTCTTGCAGTTGATGCTGTAGAGTATGCAATCAGCTTAGATCCCATACTAATGATTCATTGGTATGGGAGTATAAAATTACCAGTGGCAGGCTACACTCCTCTCCGGCTGTGCCGGAAGGGTGATAGAGACGCTGGTGCAGTTACAACGGCCGGTGTAGGGCATCGTTGAGGTGCTGTAGATGGATGTGGAAGATGGACTGTGATGACTCGATTCGTGGCAGCTTGCCGGGATATTAAAGGTCAATGTCAGGAGAAAGTGGAGCATGTTCATCCACATTTAAACCCACGTCATACACCAGCAATTCGGAGCTGAACCGAATCAAGGGAAGCCTCGACAAGAAGTCCTTCTCCACTCGAGTGGATCTCTACCCGATGATGGATTGATAATCAGCGTTTGCCGCCCGTTCAGTGGATGCCATACATGCCTGAGGCTGCAAAACGATATATTGAACATCTCTTAAGCCCGACTGTGGTACTTTTAGCCAGGCGGATGATACTATCTTATCAAGGCTCAAATGGATAGAGAAAAAAAATTGCCGGAATTGATACACAAATTGAACGACTAGGAATGACTATATAACACCGTAATAGCAGAGGTTGGGCATGTTACCTTGGCAATGAGGCGCACACTAAGCCCACCATCTTCTTATTTGGCAAGTCTAAAGCATTCCATTGAAGGCCTAATAATCAACAGTCCTTCGAATAAGCGCCCCTACCATACATGGAGCTCAAGCAGTAAACTGTAGGACAAGTCCCAAAGTGCCCCGTTCAGTATGAGGCGCCATCCCATTGACAATATCGGCCGTGAAACTGTTCAGATCCAGAATCCGATGTATACGGTCCATCTTGATTAGAACCTCATCGCACTAGCTACTTTCCGAGTACGTAGTAGCAGCATCCCGAGCAGTAAACCTTCCAGCCGGACCGCTGTCGAGGCTCGCCAGACACCCGCTCTCAACCTTGCGAATCACCCGCGTGCAAAACTCCACTGACCTATCCACCTCTTCTCTGGTTAATGTCCCACCGGCATCAACCGTCCCTTGGATAATAGGACGAGAACGATCAAACGCCACGTCAAAGTTAGCCTCTTCCAGCCCGTTCAATACGGCCTTTTCCCTGCTGTGGATCTGCTCCATCGCACTGCGCACTACCAGTAGAGATTGCATGTAGGCTTCGCCGACCTTGACCGAATGCCGTTCACCCGCCTCCTCCTCTGTACAGACCCCTGAGACTGGCGCAGATTGTCACTGCCGCTGAGAACCCACCCGTCATCATATACCGACGGCCGCAGAAGGGTTCTTAGCATTTTCAAGGGCTCTGGTTGAATAAAGAGGGCGCTAATGAATATCTCAGAGATAAATGCCGCAAATGGGTTGGCTCAGCCTTTCAACTCACTGATTTAGAAAATCAGGAGTTTAAAAATCATAACCAAAAACAGACGCTATGGCATAATGGTTTTGCGCAGGCCTATGCGATGACTGGAAAAATTGGTTCGTCCATGCTGGAGGCGCTGGTGGGTTTACCGGCTGTACTGGCATCAAAGAAGCCTATCGCGCCTCTTGTCCACCATTCAGGGCTCAATATTATCTGACTATCAGACCTAGTATTATTTAGGAATGCGCCCTAGCCTTGTTTTCTGCCCTTTGTTACAAGGAAATGCTAGTGGATCACCAACAAGGAGACATGTGACTGTTCGATCGAGCGCTGTTACCCACCTTAATTGCTTCCCAAAGTCTCAGTCGCCTGCAGTATGGATATTTGGCTGCCTGCTTAATATGTGAGGAGAAAATCCTACAAGGATCGCTAGCGGGAAGGTGATTGCCTAGAAGCCAAAAAATTGGAACGTATTACCACGATTAATAGTCTTATCCGACAGTGTTTATATCCCGAAATACGCACTGCGTTGAGTAAATGAAACCTTGGGCAATCTGATTTGGGTAGAAGTGTCTGATGCTTAACTCCATTGTGAGATTAAATATAGTATCTGATAGTAGCAGCGCACACAGCCCTATTATCGAACAGCCATGGTAGAATGAGAAAAAGGAGCAAAAAAAAAAAAAAAAAAAAAAAAAAAAAAAAAAAAAAAAAAAAAAGAAGATGGTGTAACTGTGAGAGACCTCTCGTGGCTTACAGCTTGTGAGACTCAGTGTGTGACTTCCTCGGAATGCTCAACGAGACTAATAAAGCTTTACAAATAGCCTTATAAACTGGAATGTGGAGGTATCTTCAGAGAGTCGGGCTTCCTTGTCAAAATTTTGGTATCGAAATGTGGGCCGTCTACTTAATCGAGTATGCCTAAACTACAAATTCTGTACAAACGGAATAAGATAGATCTTCTGGATGACATTTCCGTGGTTTTATGCCACGGCTAGTTGAACTACCGGCCAATTCTCCCATCGACTTTTCCCTGTCGACCTGCAACCTGCATTCCGCAGTAACACAACAGGGTAATTCTAACGACACAGACGGCCTTCCAACATGATTGTTGCCTCACTATAATATATGCTGACTACTAATCCGGGGATGGATACGCGTAATGAGCCTTTGGCATGCAATGCTAGCAGTAGTTATGAGGCATGAGCTTTCCAGTGTTGTGCTTGTGCTTATATTCATGCTAGAACATGCTGACGGCTGCAGAAGATCTGTATTACAGCGTTCGGCCGAGTTTTACACGCAGTGCGAATCAGAATCGTACTCGATGCAAGAATGCAATAGAAGGACCGAACAAGGAAGGGTACCATGCGTTACCCACGCCGCCATCCATATGCCTCCAACAATACGAGGTAGCTCATCCAGCATAAGAGATTGACTAAACGTTCAGAATTTAAATAGAGATGTAGCTCAGATCCTACATCAATATATGCATGCAATGTAAGCTAATGCCAAGATAGCTGAACTACATAAAAATTGATTCCCCGCTTGCGTTTTGGATGCTGGCTAAGCTGCGGGGAAGCCCAAAGAACCCCCTAAGGGTTGATTGTAACCCCAGTGTATGCAACTGCGCTAGGGCAAGTGAGTACTAACGTTATATGGCGACTTGAGAGTGCAGGCAGCGCGCCTATCCCCGAGGCATGCAAATTGTAATGGTTGGCTTATTGGATTTTCAATGGTCTATTATTTGCTCTTCGGTCTCGAAAGTATTATTTACCTCCCTGGAGACCTACATATTGCAGGCTGAGAGCTTTTTGATGGTCACGAATAGTTCATCAACCTGCCTGGGAGCTTTTTTCGAGATTTATAGTCTATCATGCTGGGCTTGCTGTTGGTAATGGCCACTACTAGCCATGGTATATAGATTGGACCCCTCCAAATGCAGGTATGTTACAAAACTACTGAAAGCCATGACCTGAAAGCAGCATGAAGCTGACATTTAAAGTAATCAATAATAGTCACGGTAGTTATGGCAGATCAATGAAAGAAAGGCTTCGCACTCCTTGATACCCTTGACGTATGTGGTGCTACTGTGACAGTAACGAATTCCAAGGCTGATGTGTCGCTGTCTCCGACAGGCTACCATCTTTTCATGACGTCTGTTTCTCCTACATACCCCGCATATTACTTGAGACCAGCCAGCCAAAAGTGGCAATAATGTAAATCTTGCCTGCGCCTATCACGGCCCCGTTGATCCTGCAAATATAGTCACTATTTAGACACAGCCGGCTGCATAAATAGGCCCTCTCTCATCCACCCGAATTGAAGTATCACATATCAATTTGGCATCTAGTCCACTCCTCATACAACAAGCTTGTAAGCCCTGTGTCAACTACCCGCAAACATGACCGGAATCATGAACTATCTCCGTCGACCTCGAGCAACGGACTCAGGTATCGAGATGTCCGCTACTATCACAGCAAGTTCTTCAACGCCTAGTTGGGGTGTGATAGAACTTAAAGATTTACGCGACAAGGACAACAATCCTGTGGACTTTACCAAGGATGATTACCTTGGTATTGCATTGCTATCACCCGTCAAGGTCGAGGATACGGAGGTCAATGTTTCCACTGATCCTTGGTACGATTTCACATGTGAGGTTAGCAATTTCTCGAGCGGTAACGATGTCGAAGTCCTTGTGAAGATCACATTCAAGCCTAATTGGGATGGGGAAGCCGACAAGTTCCAAGTCAAAGTTGTCCAGCTGGGAATGGCTGGCGATCCGCAAGATGAGCACTACAAGGACTCGGTGCGCCTGTGGAAGAATTCTCTGCCCGATGAAACCGGTACCGTCCCAATTGTGTGTGACAGTCGACCGGATGGGATTCCCTACTCCAACCAGACGGTGGTTTTCACAAACGATGATGGGATAATCATGAAAGAGGTACCATTTGGTCAAAAGACTGAGGTAACCTTGAACCGGGGCAGCTACAGAGTTGCTGCTACAGAAGCTTTCACGGACGATGAAACCACCGTTGCTATCGCAAAGGCTCAGCCAGACCAAGTGGAGGTCAAACAGGGGACTACAAGCTCAGATGTCAACGTTACGTACGATGTTCAACACTACAGCGCGACAGACGTTGTAATTGACAATATAGTCGGGCTCGAGGGAGAGGAAGTGCATGTCAAGTTCAGCAGCGAAGACAGTCTGCTCCATGATTTTTGGAGTTCTGTTCCACAGACCACAAAGCCACGTCGAGTACTCCCATCGGGTGGCAACGCAACTATTAGCGTTGATTCAATTATCGTGAATAATGTTCAATATGAATTCACTCCGAAGCAGGTTGATTTATCAAGCAATAATTCTGTCTTGTTTACGGCTGGCGATGTTATTCAGCATCAAATAGAAGTCTCGGGTGCCGTCAAGCTACCCATCCAGCTGAAAAAGCCAGGCTCAATAACCGCAGGAACAATGGTGGTGCACCTCATTCAACAAGAAACCCGCCTTATTTACAAGGAAAAGGTGGACGTGAACGAAGAGAATCCCCAGTTCCAGGTGTTGGTGGCCCCGGGAGATTACGAAGTGCAGGCAAATCGGTTCATCGAGAATGGAATCTTGTATAAACCTACATTTGACCCCAGTATCACCGTCAACGAAGATGGTAACACTGAACTGGAATTGCAGGTGGACCTCGTCGCCAATCTCAATGTCCCTGGCTTCCCCAACTTCTTGAGTTTCGGTGCTTGCACCCGGGACCTCAGCGAACCTACGAACTCGGATGACACTGATAACGACTTAACAGACTTTGTGCAAGCTGGTGCATCGTCAATATTCAAATATGCTGGTCAGGGTGGCGACGGCGACCCCGAAGTTGATCTAACAGAGAGTCTAGAATGCACACCAAGAGTGATTGCCCTTGCGAGCGATATCGAAAAAGCCATCGGAAGCGATCATACTGTTCTGCCAGTGTTGATATCATATACCTGCAACTTTTCTGGTGGGAACGATGTCCTGACAGATACCACCAGACACCGCCATAGCCTTGGAAATTTCATTCAGTCGCTACAACTCACCATGAAGAGTGACCAGGCGCCACGCTCTCTACGCGCTGCGTACATCCTCAACCCCGATTTCATTGGCGAGTGCCAGAAGCGTGGCTACGAAGCGGACTCAGAAGTACCGTTCCTCAATTCTCTGAAAGAAGCCCTTGAATACCGGGGTGAAGCAGATAAGGTCGAGCTTATTCCTAGCGACATTGACGATACCCTTCGTGGATATGTACGTGCACTACACTGGCTGGTGCGGACTCTGACGAAGGATCCCGACACCGGTAAGCCTGCCGTTTCGCTCGGATGGCAGGTCAATCTCTGGGCAGGAGAAGCCGCCGGTGCAGTGTGGATTTACACGGACGAAAATCAGGCATCGGACAAGGCGAAGAAGACAGCCGACTACTTGGATGAACTTGGGGTATGGCCCAAACAAGCTTCCCAGCAGGCGGATGAAGATGAGCTAGCTCCTCTCGACTTTCTGGCCGTTGACCGTTGGGAACGCGATGATTACAGAAATGATAGCTACCCCAAGTTCTTCTGCTTTGCTCCGCGTGAATGGAGCAGGTATATTGATTTCTGTGAAACACTTGGCGCAGAACTGCATGCCCCGATCATGCCTTGGCAGGTGTCAGCAGCTCGCACGCCAACCTTCAAAGATGACGTTTCGAACAATTTCTCGACAGCACAGCATTGGGGTACCGGGGGCAGCTGCATTTTGGGCGATCCAAGTATTGGATCCGAGTACTACCGCATCCATAAGAGGATCTTGTCGCTGGGATTGAATGAGGTGCAATTTCACGTTAAAACCGTGGAAGAGCTGTGGAAGCGCTCTCAACCCTTTGATATCAGTATTCCAGGTTACCAAGGCCTCCATTTACGGGGAATCTTCGCTGTCCTGCTAGGTGGTGGTGACACAACCGGCATTGTGAGTAGCCTTCCTCAGGCTGGTGAGAAGCAGGATGCTTGGGTGCGGGAAAGACTCGGAGAATATATCAAGAACCCGATTTATTTCCAAACCGATTGAGGAGGGAGCGTGTAATCGAACGCTACGACTGAATTCAGGACATCGTTGCCTGCCATTACTACGATTTTCGGGTTTCTAACGTGGCACTAGCCACCTGTACTTGGGTTTAGGCGGAACTTGCAAGCTGTGTTCAGAATGGAACAGTATGATTACGATTTGAATGCGGAGGGCTAGTGCTAATGATTATAGCTTTTTATCATTATGTTTTATGTACGCAATCATGTTCCTGACCGAGAATGGAAGAATGTTTATTGCCGTTGTGCTTTTTGTTGCATCAGAATGGCGAGTGGGATGTCTTCCTCGTCGTAGAATTCGACGTCCTCTTCAACCCCAAAGTCACATAGCCGTTCGCCCTCAGAATTCTTCCACCCTTCCTCGCCATCTTCAGGCTCAGTACTATAACTTGGCGAAGACTCCCGAGAAGAGCCGCTCTGATTTATTTCTTCCTGTGCCCGATCATGGAAGCGCTTACGACGTCTGATTTCCTGGCTAGCTCTCGGCGCCCTACTGGGGCTATCGCCCTTCCACCCGTAAATTGCTGGAATCTGGGGCTCGACATCATCCATGGCTGTTCTGGCTGTAACCGGGATTCTGTCCGGGTCGGGAGGTGGCCAGGTAACATTAGGATCTATTTTGGGGTCAGTCCGTCATTAATGCCGGTGCCATATAGCAAGTTTTACTAACCTTCAAAGTCGTTTACTTCGAACTCTAATCCTGTCCGACGGTCAGGAGTTCTGGCCAGCGGCCAAAACCAGCTCAGAACCTGAATAAGAAATTAGCTTGCAGCGGAGAAAAGCTATTATTGATAAAGATCGACCAACATTTGCAGTTCCGCCCATTCCAGCCTTAATGTTGGACCAGATTCCGATATCGTACGGAAACTCCTGCTTTTTGATTCGGATCCTGACGCCACCTGGTCCGGTCAAATACCCACCGAAGTGACGGGACCGACGAACCAGCGTTTGATGTCGTTCAATCTCCCATTCTTCGATAGTTGTCGTATTAATGCTCATAGACCAGATGGTCCGACCGAGAAGGATCATGAGAAAGAAGACCGTGAAGCTGTTCACTACAAGGAGAACGAATAAATGGCCCATCTGCAGCGCACTAGGGCCTAAATACTAAGCAACTTCTGCATCAGCTTGCGTCGTCTCGTCTAGAGTGATCATCTTACGCTCGGACGATTCCGGGAAGCCCAAATTATTGACGCTCTTTCATAGAGAAGGGTTTCGAGATAAGACATTCCTGTTACGGCGTAGAACAGAAAACGCACGAAGTGAGGGAAGGTGAAGTGCGAGACACAGTTCGAGGTCCATGGGCAATGATGGTCCATCTTTGGAATGCATCTGCAGCTGGCATCAGTATGAAGCCCTAGCTATTGATTTGATATAACTAACCTTTGGCACGTTCGACAATGGTGGGCTCTTGGCGGCTTGTATGCCTCACATTTACGGCACCATCGTTGACGACCACTAGCACGGTCGGCTTCGAGTTGCTTACTGTCTAATGGCTTCCAATATTTGGGAATGCGACCAGGATCTACAGTGCAAGTTCGATAAAAACATATCCAGATGCACAGGGCAAAGATGTTGAGGCGCCATAGCTCGGTGTCCCTGAGCGGAGCTGGCTCGAAGTACAGAAAGAAATACTGCGAGCTGTACGCGAGAAAGCTAATTAAGATGCAAACTGATGGAATCGCCAGTTGCGACAACCGGAATGAAGAGCTAGCCATGCTGGTTGCACATCACATCTCCGAGTCCAACCACTGGCAGCACGCGATGAATGATGGTGAGGCAGACAAGACTGAATGTTGTCGATGTTGACAAGCCACGTGGTGTGGCTGACTCAGCGCACGTGATCAATGACCCATGTTGTGCGTGGAAATACTCCTTCCCTCATTCTCCATCTCCATTGATCATCCGGGACAGTCTTGCGCATCGTATACTTCATCTAAACTCTGTTATATAGTATATATTCTGAAAGTATTCATCGCTCATCTTGCTCAACGCCACCCAGATGACCCAGATGACTGACCAATTACCTGTGTTCCGTTAAGGATGCCAATCGCCGCGCTGTCCCCTGAAGCGGTGCGGGCAATTGGCTCCGCGTCTGTTATTTCCGATCCCTGCTCCATTGTCAAGGAGCTCCTGGACAACGCCTTGGATGCCACAGCTACTTCGGTCTTCATCGAGATCTCACAGAATACACTTGACGTAATACAAGTGAAAGACAATGGCCACGGTATCCCCACTAGTGACCACCCTTTTGTATGCAAACGCACTTTCACTAGCAAGATTCAATCCGTCGAGGATCTTAGAACTATCGGTGGGAAGTCCCTAGGTTTCAGAGGCGAAGCACTTGCTAGTGCAGCGGAGGTATCCGGTGGCGTGACTATCACCACTAGAGTACCGCATGAGCCGGTTGGGTCTTCTATCAAATATGGTAGAAATGGCGAGCTTCTAAGGTGATTTCCACCGCCGATTGAGATAGTCCAAAGCTGACCTACGTAGTACCCAACGAGCGTCACATCCGGTAGGTACCAGTGTCCGCATAACGGACTTGTTCAAACACATCCCTGTCCGGAGACAAACTACGATAAAGAATGCTGCCAAGACGCTCGCGAGGATCAAGAAGCTCGTACAATCATACGCTATTGCTCAGCCCTCCAAGCGTTTATCCCTGAAAGTCCTCAGAGCAAAGACAGAGACGAACAACTGGATGTATGGCCCAGGCAAGGACGCTAGCCTCGTGGATGCTGCATTAAAGGTTGTGGGCACCGAAGCTTCCTCTAGCTGTCTTGTCAAGGCCTGGCCACCTGAGAATGACAGCGACAGGTCTTTTCGGATACTCGCGCTTCTCCCAAAACCAGATTCTGGTATGTAGCTGCTCTGTAAGTACTTGAATGTGGCTGACAGAGTCAGACCTTGCCAAGGTAAACGGGTTGGGTCAGTATATCAGTATTGATGGCAGACCCTTATCGACCACCCGAGGGGTCGCGCAAGATACTGCCAAATTATTCAAGTCTTATATACGCTCACTTGCTTCCAGTCAGGAGCCATCTCCAAGCATTACTGATCCGCTTCTGTGCCTTCAGCTCCAGTGCACTAATGCAAGCTACGACGTCAACATTGAGCCCGCCAAAGATGATGTCCTTCTCGAAGACCAGGGAGAGCTTCTCTCCTTGGTGGAAGAGCTTTTGTGTGATGTGTACGGTATAGAAGCAAAACCAGCCGAGAGATCAAGGACCGCCAATAAAGAAAAGGAGCCTGCTCCTTATAGAAACTCGTTTGACATCCTTCTTGCCAGGAAAAGTCCGGATGATTCACGGACAAGCAGTTATGCCTCCTCAACACCACGGACACCGGCTGTAGAGGAACAACATAGCACACACACAGAGAATCGTCTGGAGCTGAGAAGTGCGAGCAGCATCCCCTGGTCAATACCTAGAGAAAGCATACCGATGCCGACACGCAACATTTCTTCGTCGCCCAGTGGTACGGACAACACAGGAAGGAGTGAAATTGTGCGATATCCGACTGAAAGCCGAAGAAACTCACAGGAGAGACTGCAGACAAGCTCTCCAGGGTTCATCTTACCGAGTTCCTCTGTCAGCTCGACGACTGCTCCTGGCTACGTGACTGAAGCTCAGTCTTCGCTGTCTAGTCTAAGAACACCTCAAACTCCTCATCCCAGGACAAGGCAAGCCTCAATAGACCATAGCACGCATCCTGGAAACGGAGCCCTTGATAGCTGGTTAGGGAAAACCCCAGCCCCCTCGTCTCAGCCAACCATTGGCGAGGTACCTGTAGACGATGGAGACGAGAGCTCATTGCAACAGTTGGCGCAAGAGCGATTTGGCTCATCAGAAAGGTCACCAAATAACACAGTATCAATAGAGAATGGCGTTGCTACTGCTCAGAATCAATATCCCGAGACCCAGGCTAGCCCTGCAGAAGCAGAAACAGAGCCAGAAGAAATTGGTTCTCCCTTGCTTGGAAGTACCGCAGACTCCAAAATCAGAGAAGATCACGCGCCTGCCCCTGAGAAGTCTTCCACTACTCTACGCCAGCTTCTTTCAGGAGATAACCACCAGGAGCTGGACCGTGCACTTGACTTTGAGAACCGCAAGAGGGAAGCTATCCTTAGGCATCGAGAACAACTTAGAAGTCGGCGAAACCAGACCACAACGAGTTCACCCCATATGAGTCGGTATCTAGCAGCCAAGGCTGCACTTCACAGTCAACCCGACGCTGACCGAGAAGACGAGCCGACCGTAAAGCCCGTGCTGAGTCCACATGACCCACGGTCGCGTTTAATGCGTTACAGGGCGCAAGATCAGAATGAAGATGGTATATCAAGAATTAGAAGGATCAACACAGACAAGTTGCCATTGGAAAACATTCCAGATGGACATGAATTATATAGTCTAGGTCTGACCCAGCAGGCCGACATTTCGCTCATATCGACCACATACGACCATATAACCAAGACAGACCTGTATACTGGATGTGGAGATCAATTTGTCGCCTTTGACCATTCACATAAAGATACAGAGAGGGTGCTTGATATCTGGAGATATCGACTTATCAGTATAATGCAGAGCAATTACCAGACTGAAGAACGGTCGGGATTGCCGGATGTGCATTTCAACTTCTCTCGCTTAGCGCAGCGCGGGCAATCCAAGTGATACATAGCATTCTTTATCTATCTTATCTTATCTTATCTTATCGGCGCTAGCTAGCGATTCGGCTATTCGAGTGACCTGCTTTGCATGAATTTTCCCTACCTAGACACAATATGTTAATATACAAGGTAGCAAACATAAATCTGAACTAATGTGTCCATCCGCAATATGAACAGGAACCTGAACCTCGGCAGGACTGATCAGGGTTCAGTCTGGCCCTGGCAGGGCGGCTCCACCAGCCCGCAAAGCAGTGAACGTCATCGTCATGACGCCGTTACATAAGACTGACATCAACTGACACCCCCCTTCTATAAAACCAAATCCAGTTCCTCCCACAATCCCGGTCTCTTTCAACTTCAACCACAGTTGAGTGATCATCACAGTCAACATGAACATATCCGGGAGCGCTCCCTTCGGGAACGACTATATCCCACACCCCCACCCTCACCCGCGGCTTCACACGGCCGACATCGGGATCTTCAAATCGACCATCCTCCCCTCCTTCACGCTCCACACGACTCTCGACATCGCTGCCTTTATCGCATCCAAGGCCAACGACCGTGCCGAAATCAAGGACTGGTGCTGGCCTTCTAGTCAAGTCCTCAACGCCTGGTGGAGCGCCATCGGACACCAAGTCTACTACCACAACATCTCCCCACAAACTGCCTGGTCGACTCTTTCTTGGACGGAAAAGGTTCTCTTGACTTGTGTTACGGTCTGGGGTACTCGGCTTTTTACTCGCATCGCTTCTCGGACTATCACCCGCG